CGATCCTACGGAATGCTTTGGATCCGTACAATCCTTCAATAATGGAATTTCAAGACGTCGTCTCCAAAGACCCGCCATCAGTCCTACCTCCGGACCGTGGTGTGCATCATGATATCGACCTGGTTTCGGGAACCAAATACTGCGTAGCAAGCCAATGGCCCCTGCCCAAGGAGCAGTGCGACGTCGTTGACGAAGCACGACGCAGGGATGGTACGTGAGAGCAAATCTCCCCCTTCGACACCCACGTTTTGTGTTCGGAAGCCGAACAGCAAAAGGCGTATTGTTCATGCTTACAATAAGCTGAACACTGCCACCATTCCGGCGCAGCCGTCGATTCCTAGAAAGAATGTTTTTCAGAACAACATGGTGGGATGTACAAAGTACAGTGCACTCGACTTGGTCGATGTATATTACCAATTGCTCATGAGAGCGAGTGAGAATCCGCTGACAGCGGTGAGCACTCCGAGCGGCATGCTCCAGGAGTGGCTGGTGATGCCCCAAAGGCTATCAAATGCACCAGCAGCATTTAAACGTTTTGTGACGTAGTTGTTCAGGCCCCACAAGTTGTATGCACAGAATACTTTGACGTCATTTTCGTTCGCAGTCGTGCGGAGCGGGAGGACGGATGAGAACCACATCGTCCATTTAAGAGCGGTGCTAGAGTGCATGTGCACGAACAAACTGTACTCCAATGCAGACAATTGCATCTTTGGCGCAGAAGAGATTCCCATTTTAGGGTGCTTTATTGGGAAGCGTGGCCTTTGAGCGGATCCCGCAAAGGTCAAGGCCATTGTAGACTGGCCGGTTCCAAAGAACCAGAAGGACTTGCGTAAGTGGCTTGGTCTCACCAACTACTTGCACAAGTACAGAGTAAACTACGCAGAAACGGCCCGACCATTATCCAATCTCCTTAAAAAGGAAGCGGAATGGTGTTAGAACACCGAACATCAGAAAGCTTTTGACGGGTCAAAGACAGCCTCCTGCATGCACCAATACTGGCGCTGCCAGACCC